ATTGAGGCGCGTCTGGGTGGCTGCAAGCATTATCAGTGACAAAATGCTATTATTATTGGAATTCGATTCTTTTCGTTCGATATGTTCATGGGAACAGGTAAAACAACAACCCAGAAAAGTAAGCTGAACATCAGCTCAATAACGTGATCGCCTACCTGTTGTTTCTGAATGCTGTCCCGCTGCTTCTGATGTTTCTTCTTCAATTCCTCACTATCTTTCTGGAACCTTTTCAGGAGCTTTGCAAAAACCTTGTCTTTTTTCAGCTCATCCACGTCAATTGGCTCCACCTGAAAGAATGCGTGGCACTCAAGAACAATTTATCAGACTTTCACTGTTAAGGAGCATCACAAAAACTTGAGGGTAGGAAAAAGAAGGAAAACGGTGGTACTCAGGGATTTATGCGGTCAAAGTGGAAATGCATAACAATAAAAATGATTTGCGTTCCGAGGGAGCGTGCAGCTCCACCTTCAACTTTTCATCATGATGTGGACGCCTCATAGAACCGTATAGGGATCTTTCTGTTTCTGTGCTAGGCTTCCGTGCAATCGGAGGAGCCGACAGGTGAGTAGGACTGTCATCGTGTCTACCTCGCATAAACGAGCGTTTGCGATGTGGTGTTCCCAGCGATAAATGCTGTATGACAACGATATGAACGAAGTTATTGCACACATATAAACACTTCTACATTTTCTTGAAATCAGTAAATCTTCACCTTGAACTTGTCTACTGGTGCAGGCGCCGCTTCGTTGTTGACTTTGGATGTGCCAGTCGTGGCTGCACAACCATCTGAGCGCGCAGAAGACGGAGGATTCTCTTTTCTGAAACATATTTTTTCACCTCCATTATAAGGGATTAAATATGTTAACCGTAGCCTCGACCACGAACGATTTTAAAAATTGAGAAGAATTTCGCTCACTTTTACATAACCGTGGCCCCGACATATGAAAAAAGGGCAACAGTAAATAAAACAAGGGATGATTCGGAACCGAAGGGGTAGACTACTCTTTCCTCCTCTCATCTAGTCTATTTCCTGACAGCAAA